CTTTTCATTCTATTTTCCATGAAGTTTTTGAAGTCAACTTGTACTTTAAGATTCAGATTGAAATTGTTGCTCTCTGTGAATGTTATCATATGCATGATTTGATTATCTCATTTATTACAGTGCTGCAGTTACTCTTTTTGCTTACATGTCTTCCACATCCATTTAGACAGAATCCATTAATGGCAGCAAGTGTGCTTTATTTTTTCTCTCTTCCTTTCCTAATTAGGCAACTTTAGAAGAGTAGCTGTATGGTTTTATGTGTTTTTGAATTTTTTTATTTAAGGGAACAAATTTCATATATGTCATAATGCAGTTTTAAGAGCATACTGATACTTCCCCCTCTACCATCCCTCACTCCTCCTTCCTTTCTTATTTTTCTTATTTAAAAGTCAGAGACTGGTGAGAATCCAAGGACCCAAGGGTGTGTGTGACTTATGGAGTCTGGGTGAGGCTGATTATGTACGTTTTCAAATTGAACCAACAAGAGAGACGGAAAGATTAAATCAGTATGCAGATGTAGCTTTATGGTCATATTAAGTTGAGCTCCCCAAACTTCCTTTACCTTTCTAATAAATGCTAGTGTGCACTGGGTGATCTCTGTGTGTTGGAGAGTTGCGAACAGAAGTGGGGGTGAACAGAATAATGCTGAAGCAAGAGAGGAAGTGGGGTAAGCTAGAACTTGAGACTGCCTTTTAAGGCAGATAATTCCTCCATATCTGCTAAGCAGCAGCAAGATACAGGAAACCTAGATTTTATAAGGGTACAGCTCAGTGAAGCCCCACCTTTCTTTGGTCAAATCTCCAATGCTCTTTTTCCTCCTCTGCATGTAGTCCATTATTATAAAATGAAAAAAGATAAAAGTGTTGTTCATTCTATAAATCCGAGCTCAGGGAGGTTAGGGATAATCTAGTATTGATCTTTTAATACAACAGGCACTCAATAGCATTTTTCGAATGCATATATTAATAAATAGAAAACTCAACAAATATGAGTGTTTTGTAAACAGTAAAGCACAATAAAATATACATTTTTATCATTCCCCTTCTTACTCATACTAGGCTGAGTTTAGGTTCTAGTATCTCAACACCTACTTTGACTGCAATATCCCACACTCATCTCCCTCTTGGAACTTCTAATATGTTTATCATCTTTGCCAATAATATGGCAGTCAGTACCTTATATTGTATTTTTTAACACATAGAAATGTTGTCTCCATCAGTAAATTGTGAACTTCCCTAATGCAGGAGAAAAAACCAGAGTCTTTTCTTTTTCCTGATCTAGCTTATTACAGTGCTTTAAAAATAGAAAACCATGTCACAAGTGTTTATTGAGTGATTGGATATTGACTGGAGAAAATCTACTCATCCTTTAGGGGGACTTAATCTATAAACAACTAGGCTTGTAGTAATGATCCAAGTGGCTTTGCTCTGTGGTAATAAAGGATTGTTTTTGAGGTAGCGGATCAGAAAAATTTCTGTCATCACTGTATCCCTATCATTCTAATAAGTAGCTTTCTTAATTTGTATTTCAAGCAATATGCTTGAAAATATGTATTTCAAGCAATATGCTTTCAAGCAATATGCTTGAAAAACTAAGGGGAGCTAAACTGCATTATGGATAATTCTCAGATGGTTCCTCGGTAGTAGCATATTCTCCCTAAGAGGAGAAGAAATCAGGTCATCCTGTTGCCAGACAGTTGGAATCCAAACACAGGACACTGTGAAGCTCAAAAGTACCTTAGAGTGTTGCATTACTACAAGCCTAGTTGTTTATAGATACTGACATAGTACATCCACTTGCATATTACTGTGCAATAAATGTTTTATCCTATGTGATCTGATAAAAATGATGCATAAGGCCAAATCTAAGGGGAAATTCAAGTTACAGAAAGGGAATAGATACCTTGAAGAGTGCATGAGTATGGGTGTGGGTGCTGGATGGAAGCATATTTCCACCTTTAGTTTGGGTTATACAAATACTTTAAAGAACGCCCAAGTATTTTTTAACTTTTTATAAAGTGCTAACTAGAAAGCCTACCATCTTCCTTCCATTCTGTGTAAGTCTCTACTTAATTATTGGCAATGTGGACTCCCCTGAAGTTCTGAGGCCATTGATCACAGCCTAAGGAGGCCTACCTCTAACTTTTGGGCATTTATTTATTTTAAAAAACTTTTTATTAACAATAATTGTACATATTTATGGGCTACAGTAGAGCATTTCAATACATGTATATAATGTGTACTGATCTCAGAAGCAAGATAATTGTTCTCTAGGATATTGCTTTTTATTGAAGATCCATTGTCTTAAATAAGAATTCAAATTCAGATTAAGCATAAAGGGTAACCAATTTGGAATGAAAAGCATCTTTTAGTATCTTCTGAGGCCTAGAGTCTTCCTAGGAACTTTGGAATAAGTACATAAGACATATTAGAGATGTTTGAGTGTTATTATTGTTAGCCCAATTCGACTTGGCATATTGAATTCTTAAGACAGACAACTCTTTGTAAAAACAAAGGCTATCAGGGGCCAGCGCGGTGTCGCAGTAGGCTAATCCTCCGCCTGCGGCGCAGGCATCCCATATGGGCACCGGTTCCAGTCCCGGCTGCTCCACTTCCAATCCAGCCCTCTGCTATGGCATGGGAAAACAGTAGAAGACGGCCCAAGTCCTTGGGCCCCTGCACCCGTGTGGGAGACCGGAGGAAGCTCCTGGCTCCTGGCGCAGCTCTGGCCATTGCAGTCATTTGGGGAGTGAACCAGCAGACGGAAGACCTCTCTCTCTGTCTCCACTTCTCACTGTCTGTAACTCTACTTCTCAAATAAAATAGATAAAATCTTTTAAAAAAAGGCTATCAATCTGATAGATGAGAAATCTTAGTAACTCTTATACCTTAGACATCTCAAAATGTGATTCTGAACTGGATTTTTTTTCTTTTTTATGGAAAAGGGATTTATGGAAAATAAAAGAAAGCCTGAAAGAGCTAGGGGACTCCATATATAGATTTCAAGTGCTTTTCCATTGCTTACATTTGAGTAGGAGCCCAAATGTCTGTGTTGTATTCATTCCACAAGCACTCTAAATAAGATAATAACATTTTACTTATCAAAAGGAAAACCAATGACATGTTAAAAAGCCAAGGCCTATCTTTACCCTTCTGTTTTGACTCTCCTTATTTCTACAAGAACCTTCCCCTGATTGACTTCTTGCAAAATTTTTAAGAATTTTCTCTCTTTTTTCTCCTGTATGCATCCACTCAATCCAGAGGAATGACAGGTGGGACACAAAGAAGGGAGAGATTATGAAAGGATAAGTGGAATGGGATAGAAGGAGTTTTGTGAAACTAAACTTATGTTTAAATAGTGCTTTCTCTACTAACCTGTGAACAATTGTTAAAGGCAAAAGTAGTAGCCATTTGAAGGTGTTTTAGCAATGGAATTGTAACATAAATTAATGGATTTAAGATGAATGTGTTTAATCAGATTAATCCGATTAATAACTTCCTTTATTTCCTTTTGTGTAGGGATGAGGACATGTCATTACATATTATGAATCAATTGGGCTTGTTAGAAGTTGTATTTTCTCACTGCAAATCAGAAACTGACACTCTGACCCAGAAATCCATTTCTTTAATAGGGTTGATTAGTATAAATGTGTTTCTTAGGAGTTTTTTTTTTAATGCTTCATTGAACTGGAAAAGCTTTTTAACTGATCTTCAAATTATATTACATAGATGTTCATATAGCCTGAAACCCAAATAACACTTCAGTTAGGGATAAAAGTGATTTAGGTCTTTATATTTTAAGGAGAAACACATGATCTGTATATACCTTTGTATAATCAAATCTGTGGCTGTGTAATTGGCTTTATGACAAAGTAGTGTAATACTGTATTACATTCAGAACTTGGTGTAAAATTTTTATTTTGATCCTTTTCATTTAATCCTAATAATTGATGGTCTTAATGGAAGTATTAGGGACTTTCAAAAGATTTATGGAAAATGAATATAATGAAAAAACATGCATAGATTTCAAATGCTTTTTTGTATATTAGAGGTGGATAGACACACACACACACACACACACACAAACAGAAGAAAGAGACACAGAGAGAGACCAAGAGACTAAGAAAGAGAGAGAGAGAAACAGACTATCCATTGGCTTCCTCCCTAAATTCCCACTATGACCAGAAATAGGCTGGGGCAAAACTGGGATCTGGGAGCTCAATTTAGGTCTCCCACATGGTAGCAGGGACCCACCCACTTGAATCATCGCCTGCTGCTTCCAAGGATCCACATTAACAGGAATCTAGAATTAGGAGTCAGAGTACTCTGGTATGGGACAAATACATTTTAACCAGTCGATGTCATAACCACTGGACCAAATGCCTGCCCCAATTTGTCTTTTAATTCTGCTTTTCTATGACCTTTGTGAGTGCTCTTATAATAGTTAATGAATGAAGTATTTCATAGAAATACTTTTTAAATACTAGTTTTAAATATTTTGTTTCTTTTAGAATTCACATTGAGATATGCACAAGTATTGTGGGGCTGGTGGCCTAGATATAATATATAATGCAGGGAGCAGAAAGTAGATTGACATAGTACTTTCACATACAATCCATTTTCTTATGTTTTATTCTCCTGGAATAAATCAGCTTTAAACAAAACCCTTTGTGTGGTGGTTTGGCATTTCAAGTTGTTTTCATATTTATTATTATAGCAGATTTGGATAATGTGTCTATCAGCTCATACTACATTTGATACTTGAAGGAATCAAGAAATACTGATGTTCAGTAACTTGTTAGAAAACACACAGATGAAAAAATGTCAAAGCAAGGATGACCTTCCAGTTATTCAGGCCTAGATCTGTTCTCATCGAAATCTGTGAAACAAAATAGTATATGGCAGCCATTGTTAGGTCGTAAAGAATTTATGACAGCATTCAAGCTGGAGCACAACTTGAAGCAAAAGTTCCCCATGCCTGCTTATGTTAGAATAGCTTACCGTTGATTGAGTATCCATGATGTGTTTGAGGTATTGTGTTAGTTATTGTTGGATAGGAGAAGCTTAAAGAATAAATAGCCCAGCACCTTCCTTCAAGACTCTTGATATCTTTTGAGGAGAAAAAGAATTGTATTTATGTGGCTCTTAATTCTCTGGATCCTCTTCCTCTTTCCTGAAAGTATAGCACCACCCAAACTTCAGTCCTTGGTCATCTCTTTGATTTCCTTTCTCTAAACTAAGCCATTTTTATGGCCTTGGTTATTCTATGATTCCAGATACAATATTGCCCTCCACCTTTTACCTGTAACTCACATTCAGGGTCATTATTTTCTAACTACCCATCATTTATTTGTCCTTGGAATTCTTGCTACTACTTCAAAATGCAATAGGGCAATACCAGAACTCATCATGTTCCACAACCCACACTTCCATCCCCAAGCTACTTATTCCTTTGAACAGTACTAACATCACTGCCAAGATTCCACTAGTACAAAATTTCAGAGACGTCTCTAACTTATTCCTCTCATGCTGCCTGCATCTAATCACTCACCAACTTCCATCTATTCTTTTTTTATTTTTTAAAACTTTTATTTAATGATGCAAATTTCATAGGTACAAATTTAGGAATATGGTGGTTTTCCCCCCATACACTCTCCCACCCCCACTCCCATCCCACCTCCTACATCCTCTCCATCCCATTCTTCATTAAGATTCATTTTAATTAACTTTATATGCAGAAGACCAACTCTATACTAAGTAAAAATTTCAACAGTTTGCACCCACACCCACACCCACACCCACACCCACACTCACACCCATACCCACACAACGTAGTTTCTCATTCCACTTCTACCTTCATCAACCTACCAGGAGTCTCATTAACTTACACCATTTAAATGCTCTTTTTGTCTCTAGTTTTCCCTAAATGTAGTTTAGCTGATGAAAATTTTTCAAATTCATCTGTTCAGAATGTTTTTCCACTATGTCCTCACTTATTTAAAGTTTGCTGATAGTCTCCCATTAGAAAGCGCCTAAAATTAAATGTTTAATAGTCTTGTCTCAAATTTCCATGCAAATTTATTTTCACTTCCCAACCCTATTCCTTTACCCTAGCCAGTGCAGGCTTGTTGGTGTACCCTATAGGTTACCAAGCTCACTTCCTGATACAATATATTGCTTACATTATTTCTGTGACTAGAATCAAATCCAAACAACACATATTGGCCACCTACTATGTGCAGGGCAAATGTGCTCAGCATGGTTCCTTATCCTAGTCCTATCTCATTTTTGTGTCCTCTGTGAACCCTTCTTCATTAAGCCCATCCCACTGCTGTCTTTATTCTCTGAGCTCTTTTGCCATTAAAAAATGACATTAATTTACTCACTCATATTTTTACATTCTGTAGGTTTTATATCTCTACCTATGTTGTCAATGCCATAAGGGCAGAGGCCATGCCTTGCCTCACTTTGTGCCACATACTGTATTGAGCTTGATCAACACTTGTCTGGCTCAATCGCAATAAATTTGAGATTTTTCAATAGGAAACAACAAAACGAATCAAAGTAGAAGTTGTATAGAGATATGTTAATTGAGAGATTATGATAGTTACCCTTCATAGCATCAAATTCACAAGGTTGGGTATGTATCTTAAGAATAAATGTCTTCCTTTTAGTGTCTCTTATTATCAGCCAATGATGCTGTGAAGACACATTTACAATTCTTTGTACCATGGAAGTATCTTGCTTTTATCTCAAATAAATAAGCAGAGGTCCTAAATGCATCAAAAGGTTGACTAAAGGTAGGAGGGAGAAAGTAGTGGAAAATGAGAATTGATGATACTGGCTTAGGAAGGCATTAATATGCTAGGTTAAGCCTAGACTTAATCTTTAAACTTTCTTTAGCCTACTGTTCTGTCGGGATTCCCATTCTGACTTATTTTATTTGCAGGAATTGATTGGCGGATATAAATATTTAGGGGCCTTGGGAAATAGATATTTCTTTTCTTAAGGTGATTGATGTAAATATAGCACTTGAGGGCATTTATTGACCATGTAGACACAGGTAGCTTTTAGTTTGAATTGGAGCATTAATAGTAAAACAAAAAGATAATATTTTGAGTGATTATGAATTGTTATGATAGCTATTTTAAAATATTTAAAATAAACTTCACTTATATATATAATACAATACAATCTATTGTATTTTATAATACATTGTAAAACATAAATATTTTTGAATTTAAAATAACACACAAACAAGTTCATGACTAGTTACATTTTCTTTTCAATTAATCACCTGTGAATGCATGGTATTGTTGCCTCTGTCTAGGTTTCAAAACAATGAGAACACTGGCAGGCAAAACCATTGAACCGAGGAGGGGGAGCACACCAACCCATTTGTTTACCCAGAAAGGCAGCCCTTTTGTTAAGTACAAAAATGCTTCTGGTCAAAGATCCTTATTAAAATGTATGAATTTTTGATTCTGTGTAAACCTGACCTACGTCAGATATGTATAAATTACAAAGTAGATCTTGAAATTTCCTTATATTCATTTGTAGTTGAGAGAGCTTTCTTTTGTACTTTCTATTCAGAACTGGCCAATTTCTAGTTGCAGAATGTTTTTCAAGAATATTTCTTAACCTCTCTGAGTTTATTTCCTCATGGAGTAACACATACCCTCTCTAAATTACAGGATGTTGAGAAATTCAAGTGGGATATGAATGTGAAACTACCTTATGAAAACATTAGATTATTCCTTGCTGTTTAATTTGCCTTCAGCAATCACCATATATTTTCTTTCCATATTGTAGGAAACTGCCACTACGTTACGGAAACTCCATTGAGCCCTTAAAATACAATTTTAAAATATGCCTTTTACTTCTGGCTTAATTGCAAAAGTGCTGGAGACTTGGAGAGTACCTCCTTTGTATTTTGCCACATTGAGCCCCTAGCAGAAACATTGAGCAATACTTGCTGACAGAATGGATTATCAAAATTCTGGCCAAGAAATAAAGCAGAAAGAATTTATACTGGTTGACTAATTTAAAGCAAGCAAGGCAAGCTAGGCATCTCAAAACTCCTGGAAATTTGCTAAAATCTTTCATCAGCATAATTTTACTACACACCCTCCTGATTCCAGCACTGAAATACAGAATCTCCTTACCTGCTAACTTCCATGTAGTTTAGAGTCTTTCTGGTGTTTGTTCTCAGAAGCAAGATCCAAGTCTTCAATAAATTCAATCTACCAGTCCTGTGGAGAGCTAACCTTCTTTAACCAGCTGCAAAGTGAATCTGGATACCCTGAATGGTCCTAGAAGCATTGAGGGTCTATTTAGGCAAACTGGCTTGCTGCTATTTTCAAGAAGGGAGAGGCACATTTGCTAGCCAATACACACAGATTCTTCCTCTTTCAGAGTAGTCCTCAGGATGTTCAAAGTGCACTGGAGTTTAGCTTCTCTGGTGCAGAGTGGGGGAGGGGAAGGGACACAGGGAGGAAGAATAGAAACTGATTTTCAGATTGTGTGTGTAGTTGAGCTTTTGTCTCTAGCTCCAGCATTAGAATCCTTAGGAAATCACGCAGCTGCTCTGAGATGGGAAGCATGGAGGAGTATGCTCTGTCCAACTTAGTTCTTTCTGATTTTTATGGCTGCAGGGGATGGTTTGATTATTTGTAGGTGGGGAAAAATAATCTTGCCGGTATATGCTAATAGATCTGGCATTATGTGAAACTTGATCTTAAACAAGATAAATTTCATATTTCTCCCTCTTTCTTTCTCCTTTATGACATTTGTGGCTATATCCACGTTCTATAAAACCTTTTTCTCTCTGGTGCTTTATGTTCTAGAAGATAAGGGCCTTGGTTTGAACTTGATTTCTTCTAATCCCCACAACAATGAAGTGCCTCCATTAGACTAAATGCGATTTTTCCCCCTTATCCAATAAGAATGGTCTAGAATGACTGGACTTCTGTCAGTGGTCTTGTGTTAGGAATTTAAGGATCAGATAAGTACTTTTGGCCTTTGTCTATTCTCTGAGATGTTGGAACTGTAAATTGCTCAGTTTGGCTTTTGGAGAGTAGGAACAGGGCAGGCAGGTCTGTGCTGATTAGAGCGTGGTTGGTTAAAAACTTGATGTTAAAAACTAAATGATTCTTCCTGCCATACACGCCCTCCTACTCCCACTCCTACCCCATCTCCTCCCTCTCCCATTCCCAGTCCCATTCTCCATTAAGAAAAAAAAAAACTAAATGAATAAGACCATGTTATGATTTGTTTACAGCAATTATATGGACTTTATTAAGAAGGTTCTGTATGCATGTGTGTATAAATATATTCATTTAAACACATTGTAAACATGGCTTCATAACTAACAACTGATTTGAGGTACCCTTAAAATGTGAGTCCGGCAATAACTTTCTTGCCTGCTACCTGTAGCAGGGGTAAGTGATTTGTTCAACCTTTGCCTGTTTGGGCACCAGAATTACCTCATAGCTAACACTGGGGCCAAGGCACTAAGGCCCCTGGAATTCTCATTTCTTTTCACAGAATCCTTTTTTGTGATGCTGGTAGTGATGGTTGGGGAAAAGACCATCCAGCCACATTAAAGGGGGAGATAACTCTTGGGTTCAAGATCAGAATTTATAATACTCCCCTGAGGAATTTTACTAACTATGCAGACACTCTAACCAGTATTTCTTCAATAGAGTTTGGATCCCCAGAGAGCTTTAGGAATCTTAAAAAAGGAGATAGAGAGTGAATTATCACTTCCTCTCCAGTTAGAAACGTTAGAGTCATTTTGAATTGTGGTAGAAGGCTAATTCATATGTAAGTAGTGAAGAGAAGAGAAGAGAAAAGGGTTAGATCTTCTAGCTTTAAGACTGCATTACTGTAGCTACAGCAGAGACGGAATACCCTGTGGAGGTTCCATGTGCTTCCCTACTTATTTCCTTCCTCAGCTACTTTCCAGTTCCTGAATGTGAAGGACAGTACCCCTCTCAACCTTAAATGGGTCTTTTCCTCATAAAGTTGCATAAATTTATACCATATTTTGTATAATTGACATCAAATTCCTTGTCTCCCTTCCTCACCTCTCTTTCCTTTATTTTTCTCCATCCATTTTCATTACATACCTATCTTTACATTTTCTATTATTTCAGGAAAGGGTGAAGGGCTCAACTGATACCTCTATGCTGCCATCTCTTTATTCTTTCTATTTTCCCAGACTCTTTTTTTTTGACAGGCAGAGTTAGACAGTGAGAGAGAGAGAGACAGAAAGAAAGGTCTTCCTTCCGTTGCTTTACTCCCCAAATGGCTGCTATAGCCGGCAGCTGCGCTGATCTGAAGCCAGGAGCCAGGTGCTTCCTCCTGGTCTCCCATGTGGGTGCAGGGCCCAAGCACTTGGGCCATCCTCCACTGCCTTCCTGGGCCACAGCAGAGAGCTGGACTGGAAGAGGAGCAACCAGGACAGAATCCGGCGCCTCAACTGGGACTAGAACCCGGAGTGCCAGCGCCGCAGGCGGAGGATTAGCCAAGTGAGCTGCAGCGGTGGCCATTTTCCCAGACTCTTGAAGTTCTTATTGAAGTAGAGAAAACCAAATAAGGAATGCTGAAGGAAAAAAGAGGACAATATTGAGTAAATATTTAGATGGCTAATATGTCTTTTTTTTTAAACTTTTATTTAATGAATATAAATTTCCAAAGTACAGCTTATGGATTACAATGGCTCCCCCCCCCATAACATCCCTCCCACCCGCAACCCTCCCCTTTCCCGCTCCCTCTCCCCTTCCATTCACATCAAGATTCATTTTCAATTCTCTTTATATACAGAAGATCAGTTTTGGCTAATATGTCTTAATGAAATAGAACTTAGGTAGAAGATTAAGGAATTTTCAGTCATATAGCATTCACATATTAGCTATGAGCCATATGGAATCAGAGATGAAAAGGGCCTTGAAAATTCATATTGTTTAGACTTTTTAATAAATTGAATTCTTGAGAGTATGCCATGTCTGATTCACCACTGTGTCCCCAGCTGTTAGCTTATTTCCTTGTTTGGCTTGTTGAATAAGTAAATCTAGCATAACTTCACATATAACAGATGAGGAACGTGAGACCTGAAAGAAGGAAGCTACTCTCGAGATCTATTAAATTTTACCACAATATCAAAAAGAGTCATATTTTTCCCTTCCAGGACTGAAATTGTTCCATAGTCAATACTAATGGTATTTTTGAAGGATGGATAAATACTGTTGATATACTATTGCATACACACAAATATACTTATTCAGAGACTGGGACCTTTGGGTTTCAGCTTATAGAAACCTGGAGGCTGGCGCCGCAGCTCACTAGGCTGATCCTCCGCCTAGCGGCGCCGGCACACTGGGTTCTAGTCCCGGTCGGGGCTCCGGATTCTGTCCCGGTTGCCCCTCTTCCAGGCCAGCTCTCTGCTGTGGCCAGGGAGTGCAGTGGAGGATGGCCCAAGTACTTGGGCCCTGCACCCCATGGGAGACCAGGATAAGCACCTGGCTCCTGCCATCAGATCAGCGCGGTGTGCCGGCTGCAGCACGGCGGCCGCGGCAGCCATTGGAGGGTGAACCAACGGCAAAAAGGAAGACCTTTCTCTCTGTCTCTCTTTCTCACTGTCCACTCTGCCTGTCAAAAAATTAAAAAAAAAAAAAGAAACCTGGAAGGAATTAAAAAATATCTGGACATGGAAATACTAGGAGTCGCGCTACTTTTTCTCTTCCTGTTCCAGGGTCTGTACCATGGATATAACATAACTCTGGGTTCTTATTTCTAGTGAGGTAGGGGCACTCTGGATGAATTCGAATGAACCTTGTAGAACAGAATAACATAGACTACCTGGAAGAGATGTTATAGATCATCTAAGCCTTTACATTATTCTGTGATTTCCAATGTGATAACATCATGTAGTTACTTAAACTTAACTGTATATTAATAAGAAAAATTACGTCCTCCCATCAGACCAGCCACATTTCAGTTGCCACATTTCAGCCATATCTACATATGGCTATGTCATTGAGTAGTGCAGATGTAGAACAGATATTAAAATTAATACCTAATTCGAGGTAGAGTGTATCACTAATACAATGTCATATAATTAAGTGCCACGTTGGGAAAAGAATCTGTTTCTGGACTCCGAATCAAGTGCAAGCAGGTTGATTTCTACCCCCCTATGTATTGATGTCTATCTCAGTGTGCATCTGTGAGAATGATTGAGGTACACTGTGAAGTCTTTTTTTGGGGGGGAGAATCTATTTGTCATGGATGAGGGAGATCCTTTGCATGGATTTGTACAGCACTTTTTCCCCTGACAGGACCCAAAGAGAAAATATACACAAATGTGCAATGAAAAGAAAAATAGTTATAAAAATGGAAGATATTGTAATTATGATGAACTCCAGTTGTACTTCTCCCTACTTAGTGTTTGCCCCTGAATTCAGCTGGAGATGGCTGCAGATAGGGAAGAGGGCAGAATTGATAGATCATTTTGGCAGTTGAGGTGAGAGAGTCTGCCATGTGGGTGTGTGGTCAGAGAACCTATTATTAGCCTCTAAATCTAGGAACCAGGGCTGATTGGTTTGTTTCCATCTCATCTTTTGCTTCAAGAGAGGACCAGCAATAGAAGAATTGAGCAAAGACCTACAAGAGTTAGGACTATTTTCACTTAGAGAGATTACCTACAACTACTTAAAAGTGTGTTTTGTTTTTTTTTTCCCTCAAGGACAATGAACGAAAAAAATTTGAGAAGACACTGTGTCATAAATTCCTGGTGAAAGTGGAAGACTGTAGCTCTTCAAGTCTCTTGCTACTTGAATTTCCTAGCATAATCCTGAAATGCTTTTAAGTGCAGCTCATGATGAGCATACTCTTTTAGACGCCTTTAAATTAAGAGCCACTAAAGGAGAAGTGGCTCAAGGACTGACTCTTGTAGGAGAAATCATCCACTATGAATTAGGAGAATTGGATGTGAAAAGCATACCTTGGATTATACAATGGTAGGGTTTGGGTAATGACTAACTTCTTGTGCAGGTAGGTACATGAAAGGTATGAGGGGATGTTGAGATTATATTGAGTAAATCTTCCACTGCCACTCACCAGGCAGGTTTGGGAGACACAGAGCCTGGTACAGTTTCAGCTTGCCCTGAAGCTTGGATGCATTCTAGAATCTTGCAGATTCTGGTAGAATGTTGGAGCAGGAGAAAATCTGTGTCTTTTCATTCTGCACATGAGGAAACTTGTGATACAAATTAATTGTAGTGTTTCTTTGTTTGATTTGCAGAGTAAATAGGTCTAGCCCAACCCCTCATACTACAGATGAAGAACTGAGTCCAGAGAGGCTCTGTAAACATGAATTTATTTTGCCATCCTTGGATAAATTATTCTATCATTCTGAATCTTAGTGTTTTTATTGGAAAAATGATAGTTATATCAGCTCTGCCTTTTTCACAGAATTGAAAAATCAAATAAGAACTATGAAAAGAACTTTATGCACTGTGAAGTATTGTGAAATAATAATTATTACATTGTCTGTTTATCCATCTTTCTCCCCTCCTAAGTGCCCTCTTTAACTCAAAACATTGTAGGACTTCTTGTAAGTAATTA